GTCACGATACAATATTATTGCGATTTTAAATATATTGCGATATTCTGCGATATATTGCAATTTATTACCTTTTTCCAACTTCAAATTATGTCCCTAAAGGAAAACTTTGACAACATCTGTTTTAACTAAAAAGAAACATTTCTCAGTTTGTTTATCTCACTTCAGTTTTATTGTTGCAGTGCAAAATGGTATTGTCAAGCAGACAAACTGACCAACACTTTCATGAAAACCTGTCATAAAAGTTGTATGCACCTGGCAAACTCAACTATCTGTATTACAGTCTAATCTACTCCACCTTAATTAAATGTAAACAGGTATGCACTGCTGTGCTATTACAGGTATTTTGAACAGTGCAACTTGAAATTGTACTAAAAAGTTGTGCAGACCCTTCAGCAATTGGGGAATTTGAAAGTAAATTACGGTCAAATTTAAATTAAATTGAATAAAACATGTAGTCTTACATCTAGGGATGCACCGAAATGAAAATTCTGGGCAGAAACGGAAACCAAAAATTCTGGATGCACTTGGTCGAAAACCAAAACTGCTTTGTAATGATTATTTATTATTTTTTAAATAATATAAAGTAATTTTGTAAGACTTTTTAAATTTAACTCAATTTTAATGATACTGAATAAAAAAAAAACACAAGCCAATAAAATAACCACACTTTTACTGAAAGTAACACAATACAACTGGAGAGAATTTATATTAAAGGGGTCATATGATGCTTTTTTAAAGATCATTATTTTGTGTATTTGGTGTAACAGAATATGTTGACATGCTTTAATGGTCAAAAAACACATTATTTATCATTATTATTATCAGAAGCGCCAGATTGTCATAGCAAAGTCAGAATTACCTCCTCTCCTAGGTTCACGAAACGTTCGTCCATAAAATGCATTGCTGTTCTGTTGTAAGTAATCTTAAAGATTCCTAAATGCATCTACTTTCAGAAGGCCAAATAAAGTGCTTTTGCTTTCGCCTAGAAACACACAGCGTCTCCCTAACATGGCTGCTTCAACACTAACTGCGGTTTCTGAAACCACGCCTTCTTGGCATTATGCAAATATTTCCACATAGTGAGGTATATGTGGGGGCGTGTTAGAACGAGCCGTTTTAGGGGGGTGTGGCAGAGTCTTAAATTTGATAATGAATATTATCTCTTTGGTTTTGAGACTTTAGTCTTTGCAACTTCAGGGATCTTATCTATGCACATTCAGCTTGTAACAATCCAAAGAGAAAGGAAAACTTGAAATCGCATCATATGACCCCTTTAATAACAAATAATTGTAAAATTTTACAATAAGGTTCCATTAGTTAATGTTAGTTAATGTATTAAAGTGTTAGTTAATTATTGTAAAGGGTTACCCAAATAATGTATTTTGACCGTTCACTTGAAACTAAGCGCAAGTGATGAGTTTATGAGTTGTATGAAGAGTGAATGAGCAAGTGCCGAGGGCATGTAATTTATGTTGTTCATAAAGAAATAAAGTACCCACGAGTCTGTAATCCGACACTGCTTTCTTCCTTTCCACACAACCCCTACAATTATATTATATTACATTACATTATATTATCATTGAAACATTATTTAGCATGTTTATTAAGCTGGTTTCCACATAGGACAGTTGATTGACCTGTTTTAATACAGTGGGGAAAATATTCGATCCCCTGCTGATTTTGTAAATTTGCCCACTTACAAAGAAATGAAGGGTCTGTAATTTTTATGGTAGGTTTATTTTAACGTATAGAGACAGAATACCAACCAAAAAATCCAGAAAAAACACATTATATAAAGGTTAGAAATTGATTTGCATTTCAGTGAGTGAAATAAGTATTTGATCCCCAAGCAAAGCATGACTTAGTACAGAAACCCTTGTTGGCAAGCACAGAGGTAAGACGTTTTTTTAGTTGGTCACCAGGTTTGCACAACATCTCAGGAGGGATTTTGATCCACTTCTCTTTACAGATCCTCTCTAAATCCGTAAGGTTTCTTGGCTGTCGTTTGGCAACTCGAAGTTTCAACTCCCTCCACAGATTTTCTATAGGACTGAGGTCTGGAGACTGGCTAGGCCACTCTTCTTAATGTGTTCTTCTTGAGCCACTACTTTGTTGCCTTGGCGGTATGTTTCGGGTCATTGTCATGCTGGAAGACCCATCCATGACCCATCTTCAGTGTTCTGGCTGAAGGAAGGATGTTCTCGTCCAAGATTTTACAGTAAATGGCCCCGTCCATTTGCCCCTCAATGCGGTAAAGTCATCCTGTACCCTTAGCAGAAAAACAGCCCCAAAGCACAATGTTTCCACCTCCGTGCTTGACTGTAAGGATGGTGTTCTTGGGGTCATGGTTAACATTTCCCTTGCGGGCACTGCAGGATTTCAGTCCATTGCGGCGTAGTGTGTTACCAATGTTTTGCTTGGTGACTGTAGTCCCAACTGCCTTAAGATCATTAACAAGCTCCTCCCGTGTAGTTCAGGGCTGATCCCTCGCCTTTCTCATGATCATCCTTACCCCATGAGGCGAGATCTTGCACGGAGCTCCAGACCAAGATTGATTGATGGGTGTTTTGTATTTCTTCCATTTCCGAATAATCGCACCAACAGTTGTCTCCTTCTCACCAAGCTTCTTGCTGATGGTCTTGTAGCCCATTCAAGCCTTGTGCAGATCTACAATCTTGTCTCTGACATCATTTGACAGTTCTTTGGTCTTGCCCATGGTGGTGGGAGAGGTTGGAATGGAAAATACAGATTGTGTGGACAGGTGTCTTGTACACCTAAAGAACTGACATTAGGAGTAACTTCTTAAAGTGGTAGGACTAATCTGTGTTCCACATAAGCACATTACATTTACATTTAGTCATTTAGCAGACGCTTTTATCCAAAGCGACTTACAAATGAGGACAATAAATGCAGTTTTGTGGTGTGGCAAATTGTGCACTAAGGTTTGTAATTTTATTAATGAAGAATGTGGTAAAGTCGTCAGCTTTAGAGTTGATGAAGGAGGGGGAGGAGGAGGACAAAGGAGGGAGGAAAATGTTTTAAAGAGCATGCGAGAGTTAGGTGAATTGTTAATTTTGTTGTGATAGTATGTCCTTTTAGCAGTGGAGACATTAGCAGAGAATGAAGAGAGGAGTGATCGATATACATTAAGGTCAGTAGGATATTGTTTACCAATCTGTGGGAGCCAGAATTCTTGCTGGTTGGTAGGGGATCAAATACTTATTTCACTCACTGAAATGCAAATCAATTTCTAACCTTTATATAATGTGTTTTTCTGGATTTTTTGGTTGATATTCTGTGTCTATCTGTTAAAATAAACCTACCATAAAAATTACAGACTCTTAATTTCTTTGTAAGTGGGCAGAATAACAAAATCAGCAGGGGATCAAATAAATATTTTCCCCACTGTAAGAATTAAGTAATGCACTGTGTTCTCACCTCATAGCCATACTTCAGGACACTGGAGGCAAGAAACGCACCCAGAATATTCCCCACGGACGCACATGCACTCCAAAGTCCAAAAATAAAGCCTCGCCTGGCAGACAGAAGATATGTGTGAGAATTAGTTACTTTAGACAAATGTGAAAGCACAATTACTACTTATACAAGGAAACATACCGTTAAATTTCTATGAATTCCCTGAAATAAAAATACAGTTGCTCACAAAATAATAATAAATAAAATAAAAATAAAAACTTTGAATGGAACTCAAATTAACTTAAAGGGATAGTTCACCCAAAAATTAAAATGTGATGTTTATCCGCTTACCCCCAGGGCATCCAAGATGTAGGTGACTTTGTTTCTTCAGTAGAACACAAACGGAGATTTTTAACTCTAACTGTTGCAGTCTATCAGTCGTGTAATGCATGGCAATGGTAACAAAATCTATGAGAGTAAAAAAAACATGCACAGACAAATCCAAATTTAAACCCTGCGGCTCGTGACGACACATTGATGTCCTAAGACTCGAAACGATCGGTTTGTGCGAGAAACCGAACAGTATTTATATAATTTTTTACCTGTAATACACCACTATGTCCAACTGCCTTGAGCGCGCGCAGGCATTCGAGGCGTGAGGTGTGTACGCGCACTGGCGTAGTTTACGCAAGCGCCAGAAGTGATCTCTCGCGCGTATACGTCACTTATTGTTTACACAGTGCACAAACATTGTAGGTACGACAGCTAATCAAAATGGTACTTACTTGCGCTTATCCGGATTGTTCAAACCGACTTAAAACTAAAAGAATACGTTCTCTCGC